AAAAAAAAAAAAAAGAAAAGACAGTTGGCACCCAGCCTGTTCCTCCACCCCTTCAGTCTCAGCCTACACATGTCTCCTGGACCCTCAGAGGCCAACTCTAATGCTGAGCTCCTGACTGAATCTGTTTTCACCTCTGGAGCGTTTGAGACTGTTCCTCTGCAGGCAGATACTGGGGGTCAAGTGATTACAGTGGTCTTGGGAGTCAGCCAGACCTGGGTTTGAATCAGGCTCTTTGAGATTCTTCCCTTCCTTTGTTTCCACGTCTGTCTCCCCCCTTTCTCCACTTGCCCACTCTTTCTGGTCACGCTCCAATCTTTCTTCCCTTTATAGACCACCTAGATGTTGAGATCCCAAAAAGTTCTTCTTTGTTTTATACCTTCAAGCCCTCTTCTCCAGGCTCAGGGCCTCTGCTCGTCTCTGTATGGAACCAGCCTCTGCATCCCCAGCTGGCCGGTCCTGAATTCCCAGCTGTAGTCACCACCCTGCACACGCAACCCACAGCTCCCCCCTCCCTCCCCCACCCAACCAGCTCCTCCCCTTTGCTTACCTGTTTCAGAACTCCTGACAACATTCTCTTTGCTCAACTCCTGACTCATCCTTGACTGAGTTCTCCCTCTCCTCATGTGCTTTGTGGGCAAAATCCTATTTCCTCCAAGTCCGTGATGAACAGAGTGTATTCTCTCTCTGTTGTCAGGGCTCCTGGGCAATGCCCTCCAACTCTTTTCTAGACTATCACATAGCTGGCTTTTTTTTTTTTAAAGATTCATTTATTTATGCATACAGAGCTGGGGTACAGGCCAGAGGTGCAGGGCGGTGAGAGGATTCACCAGAGACAGAGTGGGGAGCAGAACAGGCAGATCAAGGAAGTACACTGCGGAGGGGAGCAGCGGGCGGGTCAGGAGAGGTCTGCTGTGCCATGTGGTCACCTCCGGGGCTGGGGATCGAACTCATGCTGAGTGGCTTTAGCTTCTTAATGCTGTGCTTTAACCTGCTGTGCCACCAGGGAGGCCTCATAGCTGGTTTATTAATTCCCCTGCCTCCAGTCTCACCTCTCTAATTCGTTTGTCTTAACTGAACACAGGGGAGCCCTTGCCAGCCCCTCCCCCTCCCTACCCCTCCTCCACCTTCCCAGCATTCTCACTGCTAATCCAGTGCAGACTCCTTAGTGTGTGACTGCAAAGCCCTTCATAGGCTGGCAGCCGCCTTCCACTTCTCCGGTCTCACCTCCTCCGCATCTCTGATGTCCAGACACGATCCCAGTGCCACATCTCTGATTTGATTATTTACTCTGCTCAGTTGGCTTTCCTTATCCTTTCCCCCTCCTTCATAAAACCTTCCTCACTCTTCAATTCTGAGGTAAATGGCATTTGCTTCCTCACTCCACTGTCACTGAATATTTACCCTTCCACCAAGCTTAGCTTATATCTCTATTAATTTGTTTTGCTTAGCTAATTGCCTATGAGGCTAGCGCTGTTTATAAATCTCTTCAGGTGGGCTCTCCCCTGGTGGCACAGTGGGTTAAAGTGCAGCACTGCAAGCTGGCGACAGCCGCTTCAGTCTGTGTTTGATCCTCTGGCCTGGAGGTGACCCACATGGCGCGGCAGACCTCTCCTGACCCTCCCGCTGCTCCCCTCAGCAGTATGCTTCATCAGTCAGCCTGTTCTGCTCCCCACTCTGTCCCTGGTGAATCCTCTCACTGCCCCTGCTCTTCTTCAAGTTTTTCCTTATTTTTCTTCTTTTTAGTTCAAAAACAAATAGCAATTTAAAGAACCCCACCCTTCCACAGAGAATCTTTTCAGTTATGTGATTGTTTTAGATGATCTCTTACATATCTCATTTTTTTTTTCAATTTTCCTTCTTTTGAAGTTAAAAATTTATTGCTCTCAGGCTGCCTTGTAGAGTTGGGTTTTTGTCTTACCTTGGCAGGAATCTTCGCTGCATGATTCTCCAGGATCAGTCTCTTCAGGTGCAGAACCCACAAGCGTTTGTCTTGCTGGGATTTAGCCTAGGAGAGGGGGTTTGGACAGTTAGACAATTCATGCCTCTACCACACACACGATACAGTTGTTGCTTTAGCTCAAGACATAGTGCGAAATGCACTATGTGGCTGGGGAAGTTTCGGAAGAAATGCCTGAAATGCCTGAAAATCCTGGAAAGGGCTATGGAACTCATCGCTCACAGGAGAGAGCTTGTTGGGTGGCCAAGGTGCTATTGTTACCTGAACTGTGTGCTGCAGCTTGGGGTTCTTATAGTGGAAGACACTAAAGCTGAGAGGCTCCTTGGGTATCACTTCCACAAGCATGAGGTTGCCACACTGGAGGGAGAACAGAGAATGGAGGTGAGAGATACTTGGAAGAGAATGAACAAGCCCCAAAGTTATGACAAGTATTCAGACCTACCAGGATGTGAGCTTTGTATGTAAATGTGTCATCTCTCTTCTTCGTGATGAGAAGCAGCTTGTCAAAGAGGAAGAGGGTCCGCTCATTCTTGGCACGCTGGATGCGGAAGGTTCCCTCCAGTACCAGTTCCCCATAGCTAGTCAGGTCTGGTCCCTTCCAGTTAGTGAGCAAGCTCTGTATCTCCTGTAAAAGAGAATGTTCCATGTTGTTAAACAGGAGGTAGGAAGGTAAGGCCCAGTCCAGGCATTGAGGTCACACAACTTTTTGTTGTTTTTAAATAGTGCATCTTTTGAGGTGACCAGCATGTAATCACTGACCTAGAACCTATCAAAATTTCCCAGGGACTTAGGACTCAAAACGTTGGTGCTGGATGGGAATTTAGCAAGCCTCACATCAGTCTTACTTAAGAAATGAAGAATCTGAAGCTGCAGATGACCTGGCCCGTGACTCAAATCACCTTTTCCTGAGTCCCTGCCTCGTCACCACATACACCACCATGTGATTTTGCATGAACCAGTGAGAGAGGCTCAAAACCTCTAAATAGTTTAGAGAAAGTTGCTTTCAAGAAGCATTACTTATTTGAGAGTAGCATGAGATAAGGCCTTGGGAAACCTCCTTTATTAAGTTGGCCCTTGCAGGGCACACTCACTCTTCACTTAAAGGTTACACTTAAACAGTCGTGTTAAACAATAATCGCTATTTTTGGTGTCCTGACCTCTCTATGACCCACGGTAATGACCATGAGTGAAATAACAAGCTTGAGTAGCCAAATGCTTGACTGGGAAGAGGATAATGAACCAGTACACCCTCTTCCCCCGGCCTTGAGGGCTTACCTGTAACCTGACTGCGTGCTCGTGTTTCCTCTTCATGTCATTGATGTGCCAGGCGACCCGCTGCATGGTATCTATCGCATCAAGCACCACATCATAGCCTTCCGTGTCTTTGTCAAGGTGATTTTCTATTTCCTTAAATGAAAGAAGGACCAGTTATTTCCTTCTTTTTTTTTTTTTTTCTCATATAGCCATTACCAGAGGGCATCTCTGTGACCTCTGTGATTCGTTCTTCATATTTTATCTTTTATTTAGTAGCTCCTACCATTATTAACATTTTGAGATAACTTCCTAGAAATATCTGCAACAAAATGGTAAGATAGGAGCTCCGGGTAAGCCTTTTTTAAAAAATTATTTTAATTTTTATTTTTACATCATTTCATGCCTTTTTCCATCTCAGCTGTAATCCCCATGGACTTCCCATCACCAATTTATCCATGTGCCATCATCATAGTCCAGTGCATTGCCCCAACCCCCTCCCCCATTTTTGATCTCATTCCCCACTCCACTCCCGTAAAATTTCTCTGGATTACAGTTGTTCATCATTATTTTTTCCTCTGATCCTTTGTGCTCCTGCTATGAATGCAAACATCCATCACTTTTCTTTTTCTTTCTGGCTTATCTCACTAAGCATGATCCCTTCCAGCTCCATCCATGTTGCTGCAAAAGGCACGAGTTTATCTTTTTTGATTGCTGAGTAATATTTTATTGTGTATATGTGCCACATCTTTTTTGGATTAAGTCTTTTTAAGAAAAGACTTTTAATGCTGTATAAAAAACCAAAAGGTACAGCTTACTTTTAGTGACTACCTATGAGCCAGTAAATGTAGGCAATATATAGAATTTGCACACAAACAGGGTACTCTTGCCTGGAGCCCTGCCCTAACCATCCTATTGTACTGTTTCCCCTATTGTTACCCCTTATAATCCCATCTACAGAGAGATTACTTTCATTGAAACTTTTTTTATAGACCACCCTGGTGGGGTAAGGGTTAAGTCATGGCAATATCACACTATGGCCGCTGTGGCCTGAGTTCCCTCCCTGGTCAGGAAGCTGATCCACATGGTACAACAAACCTCTCCTGTCTCGCCTGCTGCTCCCCTCAGCAGTGTATTTCAGTAATCTTCCTGTTCTGCTCCCCTCTCTGTCTCTGGTAAATCCTCTCATCCCCGACACCTCTGCTCTGCACCCCAGTTCTTCTATGCATAAATAAATAGATCTTTTAAAAAAACCTCTTTTTTCCACCTTATCAACTTTCCTAGAAGATCAGACATGAGAATGTGAGCACCATGCCCATCTTTATTTCTAAGGTATCCTTGCATTTGGACAAGTAACAGGCAGGGATATAGAGAAAAGATATCCTGAAGTAAATGTAAATTTGGCCCTAGGATCACTCTACTTTCTGCTCATCTATCATCTCCCTTTTCCAGTCCCTACTCTTTCTGATCACACTAAAGCCAATCTATGATGAGTAGCTTTTCCCTCCCTCTCAACTGCCTACTGAAGCTGGGCTCATGGAAATAAAACAAAACACAAAAATCTGTTTTCCATTATGCTGAGAGTTCTCTCCCTGAAGCTGTCACTACCCAGTGCAAGGTTCTCGAAAGGCCTATCAGAGAGAAAAAGAGTCTTTTCTTTGGGCTGTGGTCAATGGGGCTGCAGGCCCAGAGTATAAATGTCTCTAATTCCTCAAAGCGGATTAGTCAGTTGTAGAGTATGAGTATGGAAAACACTTCCATCTGTCCCCTGCCTCTTTGGAGATTTCCTCCCCTCAACTTCACAGCTACACACATCTCTGCCGCCTGCAGAAACTTACATGCAGAAGGAGATGATACTTGAGAATCCGCTGAACTGGCTTCAGGAGATAGGACCCTAGAGGCAGGGAGTGTTTCAGAGCTTCCTGCTGTTCCCTGAAGAACTTGGCCAGCACCTTGTTCCTCATGCACTCCGTGAGCACCGCCACCGACCTGCAAGAGGCAGTGTTGTTTTAGTCTAGACTGTCAGGGTGAACATACCTGAACCCAGGAAGGGCAGCCGCAGAGCTACAGTTAACAGGTGTGACAGGTGTAACACAGGGTGTGTGGGAAAGGGCACCCCCCTGGACGGCAAAGTAAGAGAAGGCAGCATAGCCGTGTGGCAAGTGGGGGTGTGAGGCTGGAAGCCCACGTTGGGCCCCCTGAAGACGCAGCCCCAGCCGGGGGACATGCAGCATGCCAAAGGGGATTGAGTTGGATGCCAGCCCCCAGGGCTGCCCCCACTGGGTGTCATTATGCAGTGCTCACTTTCTACTGGCTAGATGTAAGGCGTGGGCACCTCCATACTCAGAAAAGAGGGTCCCTTCTCCCCATGGACACAGCCTTCTGCTGGTCCAGTTTGTGTATGCTGCATGGCATGATGGTCCTTGGGGACCTCCAACCACAGCTAGCTTCTCTTTGAGAACCCTTGAGTAGGTCTCTCTTGTATCTTCAACTGGCTCTCCTCATTGTGAAGACAGCTCTGAGACAGCGAGACCACCTCGCTCCTACAGTCACTCAGAGCCCTCCTCCATCCCACCAGCCTCACAGGCAGTGAGTAGCCCCTCAACTACCCAGGGAGATGGTTAACAGTGCTCATATCTGCTGCAGACAGTGAGCTGCTGTGTTGGCGGGGTCTACACACATGCACAGCAACAGCTTATGGTCTTACAAAAAAGCAGGTGGACATCATTTTAGCCTTTTTCTCCCCAAGTCAGGAAAATGTTTTCAGGATTCATTTCAAAATCAGAGAAAACCAAACCATAAAGTAAGACGCCTGGGAAGGCAGTGAAACAGAGTTCTCCTGATGAAGCCGTTAGAATGTCCAAGTCCATCTATTTTGAGAAATATCAGTCTAAACAGATCGTTAACTCCTAGGCTGAGATTTCAAAACTATTCTTCATCAGAGGCTTAGGGGCATTTCTATTAATAAGTAGAGTCGGGCAGTTTCCCAGTAGCCCTTTGGTCTTCTGGGGGCTTGGGCTTTGCCTGAATATAAGAACTGCCAGCCATAAGCACTGAGTAGTTGGGGCTCCCTGTTCTCAGAAGTCTCGGGGGGCGGGGGACTATCTGAGGCCCCAGATCTGACTGGCCTGTGCCCCTTCCCAGGGAAGGAGGGGGGGCCCTGTGCCTCTTGTCAAGGTGGGAGGTGACATTTAATATCGCCAGCCTGATCCAGTGGGGGACAGGTTGCCAGCGAGATGGATATGCCTGGCACTCTCAGCTCATGAAATGGGGAAGGAAGCCTGGTGTCTCAGAGGGCAGCCGGTGGACACAAGAACAGGTGGCCACATTTTTCTGTGAATATGAAAACAAAATTGGGCGAGAACCAGACAAAGGTGCTGCACAGAGGCCTTTAGACCATCTCTGTGAAGAAGCGTCTTTTCTTCAAAGTGAGAGTCAGAACTCAAAAATCATCCTGCAGAAAACCGTCCCTACCTTTCCTCACGGGGCTTGGCTTGTTCTCCCTTCATCTCACGCACCTTTAGCTTCTGTTACACATGACTCAGTTCACAATGTGTTAATTTGCATCTGCTGTTTCTCCTGAATACACAAGTCTATGGCATCTAGTTGTATTCTAAACCCCCAAGTGTAGAAATTGCTAGAAAGCAAGAGATGGTCATCCCTACTTCCTGACCGCATACTCCAAGCTTGTGACTTTGCTCCATCCTTGACAGGCTCTTAAAAATGTCTGTGCACTAATGACTTTGCCTGTCCTTGACCCTGAAGCCGCCGAGTAGAGAAACGGCTACCTTTATTTTGTTCTCTCTTCTTTTAGTGCTTAGCAACACCATAATATAAACTTCCAAAATTGCCAATTCAGAAGGTATTTCTTTGAATAACATGTTTGTAGGGAAATCTACACAGACATAATGCCCTGAAAAGTTCCTTTAGTGGTGCACGTCCTGAAAACTGGGTCCAGAACTTGGTTTTTCTTTAGCACGGGATGTTATTCCCCTTCCCCTCAGGAAGAAGTTTTGTGGCATAGAGGCCAAATCTGTGATTTTCCTGAATTTTGGTTTTGGGGCAAGGCTGGCTTTGAGCATCCTGACTTCTACAGATGTAGCCCCAGCAACATGAGAGGCTCAGTGTCCCCCATATTCTCAACAACACAATGCGCATCCAGAAAAGGGACTAGATGAGCCCTTAACACAACAGGTTTCTTTGTTTCCCACTGATGGGCACTAGCAATCTTTTGGCCTTATTCAAGGTCCTCATAATTTTTCCCTACACTGCTCTGTGGGGAGCCCCAAAGTCCGAGTGGGTCAATGTCTGAGGACCCCTGGATTCTACTGTCAGCATGCCTTGCTGTTCTCCCCATAAGACTTTGTTCCAGGGAGACACGCCTCACAGCCACGTTCACTGGACTGACGGGCTGGCCACTGGCTGAGAGGGGACCTGGCAGCCCTGCACGCGCCCTGGGTACCTGGGGTAGTTGGTGCAATACTGGGTGTAGATGTGGAAGGCTTCACTCTGCAAGGAGAAGAGAGAGGCGTTAGCGGCAAACGGCAGAGGCATCAACACACCTTCAGAAACAACAAAAAGAAATAACTGTATTTTTCAATATGTCTCTCTCATCCCAGGCACCTGTCTCTGGCCGTGTGGGCATGACCTGTCTGCCTTGCTTTCTACTGAGATGCTGCATATACTTGAACTCACCTGAGTTCAATAAACATTTAAGGAGCATCTGCTGTGTTAAAATGAATCTAAGGCAAACAGGAAGGGGAAGAAAACCAGGTTTCTTTCCTGGGTGCTTGGGCTTGCCTGGTGGACTTGCAGTGTGGGAGAGAACTGTGAGTAACGCTACTACACGAGGAAAGCACAGCAGGGTGCGAGGAAGCTGCTGGAGACTGCCAGCCGCCCTGCCATGGAATGCCAGCCAGGCCCCCACGGATGCCTGCCAGAGGCTTCCCACCTGTCTGGAGCTTTCTGGGGCTCTCCGGAGCGCCAACAGCACCTAATACTTACCTACGTGTGGCAGTGACTGGAGGGAGGGGCATCCCTCTGTATCTGTCTCCCAGTGTAGTGCTCACAGGGCGTACCCCGATTGCGTTCATCTGGCAAATAATGCCCACTGAAATACTAAACCCCTCTCTCTGCCAAATTGTGAGAAGATACTTGTGAGCAGGATTCGTGTCTCATCTGTACACATCTAATGTCAGCAATGGCTCAGGGACCAACTTGAATAACCAAGCGCGGGTCTGGCCTTTTGCTAGGACAGTGTCCCAGTCCACAGGAGCCCATCTGTCTTTTAGATGTCTGATCTGGTCAAATATTGAGAAACAGAAATGCTCTTGCCTGTAAAGGTGGATTTTGTCAATGGCAAGACCTTGACTTCCAAGCATCTATACAATGAACATAGTCCAAGACCTGACTTAAGATATCATCTTATAGATCCAAGGAGAAGAAAGAACATCGCACTTAGGCCAGTGAGGAATGCTGGGTGCATTTCCAGAGAGATGCCAAACTGCCTTTGTTCTATCAGGATGGGTGGGTAAAGGGGTCAGGTGTCCCTCTGTGGGACACGGTTCATTTGTAAATCTGGCATCAAGCAGCACGAACATGACCTACGATTTGAGACATCTTCAAAGGCAATCGAGGTGCAGACACCTCTTGGGGCGTACATTTGGAAGGGTCAACTGGGAGAGGCTCAAGGTTTATTTTATTTATTTGTATTTGGAGGCACCCAATGGACATTTTGGTCCCATTCAAAGTCTCGCAATTTCTCCTACACTACCAAGGAAACGCTCTAGGTGAAGCTACTTTTTTACACTTTTAATTTTAAAACTGTCAGTAAGAATAAATAATTCAAAGCCAGTGGATTATGGCTCTTGGAAACTCAAAAGGAATCACATTTTGAAAGAGTCACAGCTTAATATTTCAGTGGTGTTTCACATTCTGGTGTTTCTGACTCTTCTTAAACACTCCATCTGGAATCACCTATAACTCCCAGAGAATAGTTTTTGATAACTTCAGTTATTTTCAGACTTTCAAGGAATTTCCACTTTAAATCCTTTTAGCTAAACTCAACTAGAATGAACTGTTTTCTTATTAAAGCTTCAGGCATATTTGAGAGAAAAGAAGATGGCATAATAGAGAACTCCCAAATATCCTCATCATGAGGCCATTTCTGAAGCAAATTCATTTCACTTGTATTTTAGTAACTCTCCCTAAAACATGGCCTTCCAGGGAGCCTCACTGCAATGTCATTTCATTGTCATATTTAAATAATTTCCTGATTTCACGAAAGCTCACCGGTCACCATTCACATTTGCTTTTTGTTTTGGAATCCAAACAACAGTCACAAACCGTAACTGCCTGAGCGCTCCTAAATCTCTAATCTATCAGCTCCCTCTCTCTCTGTTCCACCCTTGCAGTTGGGGTGAACACCCCAGATGGTTTGTCCAGCAGTCTCCGCAGGCTCAGTTTTGCTGACATACTCCACGGTTTCCTTTCCTGCATCCTCAGCCCTCTGCTCTCCTGTGCTCAGTAGAGGCTTAGCCAGATTTCGCCTCCCTAATTTGGCATGCATTCTTTCCTCAGTTGCACTGTACTTCCATCAGGAGACAGGGCCTTCTGCTTGGCTCTCTTTGGAAATGTTAACAACTCTCAGTAATGATTGCCTAGATCTATTAATGGATATGTGGTGATACTTCACTCTGTGGCTCCTTCTTCATTTATTAGCCAGACTCTTTCCCCAAAAGGAACATCGTTATATTAATTATTTGTTACCCTGCAGTTTGTGGTCTTGCATGGGAAAGGCAGGAGAAAGTCTTGATTCTTTTAATTTTCAAAATAATGCATTAGCTCTCTAGCATTCTGCAAATGTCATCAGCCTGTTTTTTTTTTAAATAGTATTATGAATTAATGAATGCAAACACAGTTAATGAGTTTCAGTCGTTTTCACTGAGTTCTCCTTACTAATCCTCAGAGGATCCTAGCTTGGGCCAGGAGGAATGTCTTCTTGAGGCTGGTGACCTGACCTGCAGTGTCTGGCTTCCAGTTTCTGGTGGACAGGATGTTCCAGACCGTCCTGTCCACTCCTCCCCTGTCTTCATGGAGTTCTGATTCTTTTTTTGCAGGACGTATTTGGAGACCACAATGGGGGCAATCAGGATACTCTCTTACTGCCAGGTTCACTGTTACTTCTAGGCCTTCCAGTGGACAGGATTAGGAATATGGCATTTTTAAAAGCTAAAATGCACCCTTAATTCAAATTTGCAAGTCAAATCGAGGACCACAGTATTTCTCATCAGTCTCATTTCCAATTGCATTTTGTTGCTCTTACAATTTGAGGACACTAAATCATTTGCCTGATCTCACAGCATGTTCAACAGATTCAGACCAACGATACCAAACCCCCCCCCCCATGTGAAATCATCACTGAAACCAGTTAAAAATGTATTTGCTGTAGCGTGTCCATTGCGCCTTTTAAAATCAGCTAGAATTTCCTCTGTGTGGTTATACTACAAATTGGATACACGAATCTGGCCACAGTTTCATTTGCTTTTAATTTTGGAGACTACTTTTGTTTACAGTCAATTTTGTTTTATAATTAGGTAAAATATCTACATGGTTTCAGAGTTAACTCTGCAAAGCATATTAAAGATGTCTATTTTCTATGCCACTCCTTTCTAGTCTATTCTCTGCTCCATCTCTAGTAACCCATTTTCAATCTTACAGTTAATCTTTGAGGAAGTATATATACATTTCAATAGGTGTAGATTCTCTACCATTCCCACATAAATAAGAATAAGCTAGGCCAGGGAGTTGTCAAACTTAAGTGTATATCAGAAACACCTGGGCGGCTTTGTAAGCCAGGAGTCAATGCACCTGTGTCCCTCTGGACTTGCACCACCAGGGGCTGATTTAGTAGGTCTCAACTGGGGCTGACTTTCAGTCCCAACAAGTTTCCAGATGCTGCTGCTGCCATTCATCCAGGGACCACACCTTGAGAACCACAGGCTTTTGACATGTACCCCATTGCTCCCTAGTAGTACATAGAGATCTCCTTTATCTGCTTTTACTGCTTCATGCTATTCTGTTATATGGACAGGTCACGGTTTATCCAATCAGCTTCCTGCTAATGAGCATTTGGGCTATTTTCTTGTATCGTATTTTTCTATACATAAAAGGATAGATGTATGCATAAAAATGAATTCTACATAGACTGTAGCTATAAATTGTAGCAATTATTGCAAAGGAATGGAATCACACTTACTGAATTTTTGTCCCTATATCTTTGGAATTGATTTCTGGGAGCAGGCTTGCTGACGTCAAGGGTGCATTCTCCTTAAGGGGTCTGTGTCACTCTTTCCCCTCATTATCTGAGGGCCTGATTCCCTATGGTCACACTCCCTTAATATGCTGCCAATATTCCAGCACAGTACTAAATAGAATCTAAGTAAACCATCAATTTAAAAAAGGTGGAAAGTCAAAATATCTTGAATCTCCTGAGAAAATGTGAGATCCACTGGCCCTGGGGTTACAGATTCATGGTCACTATGTCCCTAGGAGACCAGGCAAGGGCCCAGGTCATTTGGCCTCTAACTGGGCCCCTTCACACATTAGGGAAATTGATTTCTGGGAGCAGGCCACACATCCGTTTGGCTCCTGGAGGCACCGAGCACCCAAGTCTGCTCCACGAACAGGAAAGATAAGTGACTGCACCAAGGTCTTACAGCAAGTGCGGCTCAGACTGAGCCTTTCTCTGGGTGCTCACGCACTCTCCTGCTTCCTGCAGAGCTCAGTCTGGGGTTGAACACAATCAGCTGACTTCCCTTAAATGTAGGAACTTCTGGATCATTTGAAAGATGAAATTTTTGAAACAACAGCTTTAATGAAAATATGTTTAAGTTACATCGGATGCTGGACCTCTCCCTAACGAGATCTCCAGACTTCTGCACAACTGTCTTTCCGAGGACTCTGACACCACGGCGCCACTGCTGTTTTAAATTAGAGGGCTGTGACTGAAATCAGCCATGTATACTTAGCATAGAATCAAATGCATAATTCATCTCAGATTTTTTATAAACTCCATGGACAATTCAAACAGTGGCTTTACAGAGCTCAAGAGCCCCAAGCTAGCTAATCCCCAAATGCTTTTTATTAGATAAACCCCCCAAATCATTTCAGAAGTGTTTATGAAAAGACAATCATAAAGAAATGACACCAAAAATAGACATTTCATCCTGGTTTTTCAAATTGCCATTAAAAACGACATAGAAATGAGACATGTAATTATGAAAGATTCAAAATATGAGTGTGTCAGAGATGGCCAGATGGACACGGGTGCAGTCACCTGTTCACTGAATGCGTAACTAGCTTAGAGAGAGATCTTAGGGCTCCTTCTCTCACAGGGTAGCTCGACCCTCCTCCTCTTCCCCTGGACCTTCTCGCTCCCTCTCTTGCACATACATACACACACACTCTTGATTCCTGAGTTTTCAATCAACACTATGAGAAAAATTTTAAATGCAGGAAGCATACTGGGTAAGGTCATATTGACTTGCACCACTCTACTGATACAACAATCTGGTATCAGTAGGGGGTGAGGTGTGACTGGACACCCCAGGAGAAAGGCACCCAAGGGGAAGGAGCCGCGCTGCTGGGGAGAGGGAGTCTGGATCTTGGTCTCTCCCTGTACGCTGCCCAGTGTCACCTGCTGGACAGTCAAGATAAGGGATGCAAGCGAGGGGAGAGCAGAGGACAGGACCCCCGAGGAGATGAGGCCCAGGGGTTTGCAGAGGCTTGTGCTAACACATCATCAGCTGGGACACAGCATGGCCTGCTCAGTGGACTTATTTCTGTCTCTTAAAGGAATGACCTCCCCAGCTCCTCGTCCTTCTTCCAGGAGCAGCAGGTAAGATGCCTCCTCCTTTGTCCTCCTGTAATCTACACGACCATCTCCCAAAAAGCCAGGTCAAAGATGAATCCCCGTGTCAGCCCCAGTGATTCAGATAAAAGCAAAAGTCAACTGCCAGCTTCACTTCTTTCATTAATGGCCTCTCAATTAAAGCAATTTTCCATTCCTCCTCGGGCCTGAGCAGCTGGTTGTGTTTCAGAAAACGTAACATCGCCTACATTTCAGGGTGCTGAGTGAGAAGCAAGTGGTGCCAGAAGCAAACACTCCCTTCCCAGCCCGGCTTCCTTGTGAGAACACCGAGCAGTCAAGTCGTCTTCTAATTAAACTTGGCATTATTACAATGAAGGAGATTGGGGAGTTGGCAAAGTGGCACATAAACAAACTTTTATGTGAATAATTAAGCCCGAGCTAAGCACATGCTGGACCATCTTTAATCAGCTTGTGATTACAGTTACCAGTAAAAGCCCCAGCGTTTCCGAAAGCGTCCATGCTGTTTATGTGCTGCGGTTCTTTTGACATATCTTCTTTGATATCCTCGCCTAGCTTTTTACCTACTTTTCCCTCTTCCATTTCCCTTCTCCATTTTCAAGTTCCCTTAGGAGAATGAACTCCGACCCAGGTAACTCGGGCAAAAGAATGCCTGTGTAAGCATCTTCACACAAACACTTTACACATTAGCCCCCCCCCCCCAACACCCATCCACAACGTGTTTTATGTGCAAACCCAACCGCTGCCGTTAAGGGATCCCACTTCTATAAACCCAGAGTGTTATGCTTGGATTCGACACCACTGGGCTGAGTCGCAGCTGTCAGAAATGACCCCCAGAACAAGTCGGGAGCCAGATCAGGCTGGGCGACCACGTCACCCTTACCTTTGACTCCAGAACTCTAAACGAGGTGCTAATTCTCAGCTGATCCCAAAGCACCATCTTGAACTTGGCTTAAACTTTTGCACATCTGAGAACACAACTGCAGAAATTCCATGACGTTCTGATGTAAAACAACTTGCCAGAGGTTTTCCAAACAAAAGCTATTGAATTGTTAAGAGAAACGTAAGCCAGAGGTCCACATGTGGTGGTCAGCACATGGAGGAAGTAATGAAAGGGTTGCCCGGTGCTTCAGAACTCGACCTGCTATCAAGGGGCAGAGTATGGGCGGTCATTTAACCTGCTGGATCAAACCCTTTCTATTTTCCTAACTCGTCAATACTGTTTAGGAAGACTAGGAAAATGAGAGCACAATTTCAGATGTTCTTTTCACCCTGCGCCTTCCAAATGGTACTTACACAGCTTAGAGACTGTTACATATATTGTCTGTAAAGCATTTATATTCTACCAGATTCTTGTAACTGGTCTAGTGGCATTTTACAAATATTCATGTTTCTGGCCCTCCCTGGTGGTGCAGTGGGTTAAAGCGCAGCACTGTGAAGCTGGCCACAGTGCAAATTCGATCCCCGCCCCAGAGGTGACCCACATGGCGCGGCAGACTTCTCCTGACCCGCCTGCCGCTCCCCTCAGCAGTGTACTTTGGGGATCTGCCTGTTCTGCTCCCCACTATGTCTCTGGTGAAGCCTCTCACTGCACCTGTACTCCAGTTCTTGTATGCATAAATAAATAAATCTTTTTAAAAAACAAATATTCATGTTTCTAACATTTTTCTATTTTGGACTCTTCCTCCTCCAAGCTTCAAGTTCTGCTCAGGAAACTAGGGTAACATCATTCCATTGCTAGCACCATCACTACATTAGCTTTCTCAGCTCCCAGGGGCAGTAAACTTATATGATTTTTTCATGCTGGTGAAAAAATACCAGAGTAACAGAGATCAGTATTTAACACACAGAACGCGGCAGTCCTTTAAACTTCAAAATGCAAACCATTTGTCCTCTGCATCTGTCTTGCTTGGCCCAGAGAAATGAACTGTGCTCACCTTGGACACGAAACATTCTGCTATGGCCACAGGATCGTTTTCACAGTTTTCCAAATCTTGCAGAAGTTCACTAACAAAAATAAAAAAGAAAGCCAGAAAGTATTAGATTGCAATATAGCTGCTGAGGAGATTTTAGTTAACTTGGAAGTTGAAACATTTACATGGCATTTACAAGGAGTCCTATTTATAGCTGGATAACTGAGGACCCATTGTTAGGATAACCAAGGTCTAGATAAGGAACTTCCCCAAGGTCTCCCTGGAGTAGAGAGTTGAACACAGGCTGACCTGGAACGCTCCCACCCAGCATCAAGGCCTGCCTGACACTTGTCTTCTGGAGGCTTGTCACCGCTGCTCACGTGCTCACACTCTCCCTCGCTCGTCAGACAGCTGTGTAGGTTCCGGCTCCACGTGCGGCCCAAGCCAACAAGAACACATGCATCACTGGGTAAAATGGAAAATGACTCCTGGATTCTGGGAGCTTGGAATCCACTGACGTCATTTGATGAAAAAATCTTATGATAATTGTAAAATGATAAATGGAAATAGAGCCCTGATGGAAAGATGCTGAGGAAGAGTTCCAGCTTCAGGTATAAGTCTATTATTATTTTTTAACGGTTCATTATTGTACATAACTGTGACTGGTACATTTGGCTGTACAATCGCTAATCTCTCACTGTTAGATAAAATTCTATACATGGAACTGTGGGTCTAGATCCACCACCACTGAGCTTCTCTTGTGCTTCCTTTCCTCTTTGTTCTCACCCCCTCTCCCCCCAAATTTTCAGCTCTAGCTGATTTTGTATTCCTTGTGTAAACATGCTAATACTGCATTTCACTGTTTCAAGTTTAGATGTCCCAAACTTTCCCTTTTCCCATTTTCTCAACAAGTTCTGTTGTTAAATTCAATTAGAAGTAAAAATTTACATTTTTAAGAATATGTCAATGTTATTTTCAGTGGCACCTCAGAGTGTATCATAATTACATTTTCTTTTTTGTACAATCATGTTTTGTCTGGAATTAATATTGCCTCCTTTTTCTGCTTTGTTTTCAGAACAAACACCCTGAATTATTCTCAGATATCGTGTCAAAACTGTGACTCTTTTCAACACCCAACACCTTTTCACCTTGCATGTGTGTGGGATGACTTGTTTCTTGGACATGATTTCAGATGCATTTTGTGCTTTGTGAGGTAACAACCACCTATTTGGAGGTAATAAGGGTAATAGGTGATAACTTCTCATAATCTTCCTACTTCAAAATGTTCTCCCTTTTACTCTGATAGTATCAGTGGGTAAATAATTCTTGGCTGGAGATCATTTCTCTGTCTTGAGGGAACCATCTGTTGCCTTATGCCACTTCTATTTAGTGCTGCTAACTGAGAACTCTGATGTATTATTATTTTGGACTTTTCTTCCCTGCTCCTTGCTTTCTACACTGCTCCCTCGGATTGAACATTGTGGCTTCTGTTGCATATACAAGGCACTCCTCGACCACCTGGGATTTATACTTTCATGTTTGAAGATGAAGACACCACGAGGCTTACTATAAACTCTGCACTTTCATGGAGTGTTTCTTGATCTAAAGAAGCAATTCTCAAACTTTTCTCGGTGGGGCAGGGGTCAAGGCCTGTTTATACTACTAAAAATTCTTTGAGTTAGATCCATCAGTATTTATTACATTAGACATGAAAATCAAATGTTTTTTTAATTGATCAGTTAATAATACATCCAGTATATTCATATCAATTACTTCCTGTGAAAAAAATTTAAACAAAAATCATTGAGAAGCATTGATTTTGATTTTTTTTCGAATCGCTCATGTCTACCTTAACAGAGCACCAGTGAATTCTCATAACTGCTTCTTTATTCAATCTGTTGTAATTTGTTACTTTGAGTGAGTCACACAGGAAGCAAAATCCAGTCTCACACAGGTGTGCCAAACAGACCAGCCTCTTCAGATCAGGGTGGATATCCTTTTTTGATAGCACACTGACTGAAACTCAACAAGTGGTAGTTTCTCAGCACTTTACTGGAAATTGAAGCCACCGGTGCAGTGTCTGTTACTGTAAAATGTATTGGTCTATGTCCTGCCTGCTATGGCTTGAGTTTGATCCCGAGGCAGGTAGCTACCTACATGGTGCAGCAGACCTCTCCTGTCTCATCCTCTGCTCCCCTCAGCAGTGTATTTCAGTAGATCTGTGTATTCTGCTCCCCACTGTCTCTGGTGAATCCTCTCACTCCCCTAGACCCCACACCACTGGCCTGTACTCCAACTCTTGTATGCATAAATAAATAATAATAATAAAAAAACCCAAACCTCATCTGTCTATCTCAATACCACACTTTGACAGCATCTTTTACTGTGAGTGGCTTCAGGAGAGTCCCAATTTCAAACATTTTTTTCCTAACAGTTCAATAAGTATCCTTTTGTAAGACTGGTTTTAATTTGGAAAGCTGTCTGACACTATATTAACCTTGATAGAAAGATGAGCATGACTGGATTAAAGGCAGTTGAAATCTGATCACTGAGACCTAAACATTAGACGAAGAGGAAAAGACGAAGTAAGAATAAAACGGCCAAGCAGCAACATTTCTGGGTCACTGGTTTCCATTACTGGAAGACAGAGCACTTCTAATATAGGTTTGTGTCTAGGTCTTTCAACATAAACCTTCTTTCTGAGCAGAAAAGAATTCTGAGCAGAATCCATTGTGTGACTTCTCAAAGCTTAAGAGAAATGGTCCTTGGAAATATTTAAGCCTGGTGCTCTAGCTGTCATCCACATCAGCCTTGCCCTGGGGTGGCTTCATTTCCAGAGTGGACAACATGTTGGCAGGCGGAAGTGTCTGGGGGAACCACCCAGCTCTGGGGATCGCTCATCGGTCCATGAGTGACTAGCATTCATTGCTCAAGAATCTCAGAGCTGGGAGGGAGCTGAAGTATTGCATGTTGTACCAGACCCTAATTTTAAGGTGAGGAAACCATGGCTCATAAAAGGGAGGCAGCTTACTTAAGGTAACACAGCTAATGATTCAAGGTCATCGCTGAGGTTAGCACCAGGGCTGGTCAAGCACGCATCTTGAAGTCTCCTTTAAATAGATCTGTTGGAAGATTTACTCCAGATTGAAAATCATGAAACTATCCACTGAGAACATTATGTACACTACAGTTTCCACTGTAGAATTGGCTACAATAGCTAGGGCATGGCAATAACTCAATTGCCCACCCACAGAGGACTGGTCAGGAGATGGATTCTAGCCACAGTATGGAATACGACTCAGTCACAGGAAAGATGAAATGTTGCCATATATACACCTTAATGGAAGGAGTTTGAGGGAATTAGGTGCAGTAAAGCAAGTCGGAATGACAAAAACAAACATTATTTACATAGTGGATGATTCAACCAAGGACAATACCTACAGAAACTAGCAGACTAATAAGGTTAACGAGATTTCTGAGGTAAAGAGGGAAGAGGGTGAAAGGGTTAAAGGGCTCTAAGAGGTGGTGAGGGCATGAAATAAAAAAAAAGGCAGGAAAAATACCTTTATCAGAAAAAAAAGGTAAACAAAGTCTGGTTCCCATCAAGAGTCCTAGATGCATTGACCCACTAGGTTATGACTTTGAGGATCCAGGAAAAGAGAAAAAAAGTTTTGTGGATCAGCATTATTATAGTTACTGAGGTTATAGGGTAAAGAGCATGGACTAAAAAATCCTGTCCTTCCAGGCGAGAAAATAACGATAATGAACAGCCGGAGAACAGACAGTTTGTGGGGGGGGAGGGGGGAATGGGATCAAATAACTGTGTGGGGAGGGAAGTGCACTGGACTATGGTGATGGCGCATGGGTGACTTGGTGATGGGAAGCCCACGGGGATGACAACTCAGATGGATAAAAGGCACAAAACGATGTAAAAACAAACTATATATATATATATATATAAAGCAAATCTGTCCTTGGTGCCTATTTTCCAATTGTGTTAATCTTTGAATAAACAAATAAAACATCCAACAAAAGACAACAGTGTTGGCAAGGGTGTGGGGAGGTGGACTGTTGTGTGCACTGTTGGTGGGAATGCAGAAAGGCGCAGCTCTCTGGAAGCAGTGTGAAAGGTCTTCAGAGAATTAAAAACAGAACTACCCCATGACCTAACCATGTAACTTCTCAGTATTTACCCACAAGAACTGAAATCAGGATCGCCAAGAGATATTACCATTCCCATGTTCAATCTGCACTATTCACAATTGCCAAGATGTAGAAACAACCTAAATAACCATGCATGGATGAAGAAAATGTGGTATGTGCTCATAATACTACAGTATTGAGTTTTAAAATGGAAGTAAACTCTGCAACATGCAACAACATGCACGAAACTTGAGGAAGATATGCGAAGTACAATTAGCCAGTTACAGAAAAACAAATCTGATGTGATTCTACTCACAGGAGGTATCAACATAGTCAACCTCATGCAGTCAGAGTAGAATGGTGACCACCACTGGGTAAAGGAGGGGAAACACAAGTACTGCTGGCCAGTGGAGTAAGTTTCAAGGAAAACGTTCTAAAGATCCCCACCCCCAAGCAGCACTGTTCCTAACAGTGACGTGTCATAAAAAGGGTAGTTCTTGCGCTAAGTGTTCTTCCATAACAAATTAAAATTTTAGAAGCCTATTTTGCAAAAAGAAATGAAATTACAATAGAAAAGCACATACCATGGTATAGTGATGCTTAGAAAGATATGTTTACGTGAAAAATAAAAATGTATTGGTTCCACTGAAAGTCAAACCAAAAATAACATAATTATGTCATTGTACCTTTTGATCGGAAATACATTAGGAAGGCACAAGTGAGGCTGGGTGAGGGCAGAAAAGTGTTGCAGTCGTCAAGGAAGGCTCTCTGAGGAGGTGATACTTCAGAGCAGGGAAGAGGAAGTCATAAAGGAATCAGTTGTGTGTCCAGGACAGAATGAACTTAGTGTGTCTTTGTGTGAGGTACAGAGAGGAGGCAATTGTGCTTGGAGTGTAGTGAATGATGGAGTGTGGGAGTGACACAGGAAGACACAGGAAGACTAGTAGGTCT